AAGAAATCACCTTTCACGTACTAACAAAAAAAATTCCTTACAGAATTTTGGTATAATTTTGGCTACTAATCCTAATGACAACCCTAACTGAAACGTCACATTTTAAAAAAAACGGTGACATGTAAATAATTAAATTATAGAAAGTGTGGGTGAAAATTAGTAAAATTGTCATATGTTATTTATCACATGTATCATTTGCCTCGTTTGAATTATTAGTCTCAAGACTATATTAAAATTTTTGGAAGTAATTATAGCCGCAGTTCTTCAAAACAAGTCACCAACCAGTTTGTCAACATATATACAAATGTCTTCAGCTGAGGGTCGTTATTTTAAATTTTTGCTGAATGTTTATTAGTTTAAACCCGATTTAATACTCGATTTTCGCGTTTGCAGATATACTGATATCATGATATTTTGTCTCGTTCTAGGCGATGTTATTAGGAAAGCTTTCCTGATTAAAGTTAGTGAAGATACAGAAGTCTCCGGCCTCAGAAAGTCAATTAGGGATGGAAAAAAACGGTTTGCCCATATTGATGAAGAAGACCTAATTCTATGGAAGGTGAATATCCCTACACATGGTAAAGACCTGGGAACTGTGATAATATCAAAGAACAATTCGGAGGTGTGGAGTTGTCTCCATTCGAAAATGTTGGTCTTTGTCGAACCAGAACATTTTTCTGACAAAGAACCCATTAATAAAAACATTCGTATCATTATGCAACTACCTACCACTACTGGTAAGTGTCTCCCAATTTTTACTTTGAACAAGAAATTTGTAGTTATCCCATTCTTTTATTCGACTAGGAAAAAGAAAGCTGGAAGATTCGGGCAAAGAAAGTGGAAACCGAAGCAAAAAGAAAGGGAAACAAACATGTGAGTAATATATATATTACTTGAGACGTTGACTAGTAATATTATTTTGTTTTTTTTAAAAAATTCACTTTTTCATTTTTTGATGTTGAAGATCCCACAGAATCAGAAGAAGGCCGTGATAGTCTTATGGTTATATCATCTAAAAGGTTGAAGTGGATCACTAAGTTTGTGGAAAATAACCAGATTAGCCTTTTGCGAAGTCCTCCATCATCAGGCACGAGTACTCTTGGACAAGTACTCCGAGACTACTTCGAAAGTCTCGATTATGATAGCATATACATTAGTCTTGCTGGTATAAGTAGTACACAAGCAATCTACGATGAAGGGCTCTTTGACAATTTCTGGAGAAACAAAGTCGGGTTTACCTGGACAGAAATCAGTAAATGTAAAAAGGTCATTTATGTGTTCATCGATGAAATACAGATTATCTATGGTAACGGCGCTCCATTCTTTTGGGGTAGAGTGAAGGATCTTTTGTCAAGCGAATCAAATATTCAAAATATTCGGATAGTTTTACTCGGCACATACCATCCAACACTTGATCCTCAAATGACACCCGTGGATCTCCATACACTTGGTTTGAATGCCCTACTTCTAACATGGGAAGAAGTCCATCAGCTTATAATTATCTATATTCAGAGACACGCTACTTTGGGTAGCCCGAATTTCAACATTCCTGAACCAGTTCAGAAAGCAATCTTTAATCTTACCGGTGGACATCCTGGTTTGTGTCGATTCATTTTGACTGCATTGCGCAATCAATTTCGCGAAAATGGAAAAACAGTGGAAATGCTGCGATATCTTGCTTCATCATATTTACGAGATGGTATAACAGCAACTGCACGCGCTTTTCACTGGATCCGTGGCTGGAATCTAACTAATGACGAATCTGAATTTATTCGCAAAAAGCTAATCTTCTATCAAACTAGTAATCCATTTCCTGCTGACTGTATCTCATATCCTGTTACTAAGAAATTTATTAAGTTAGGTCTCTTCTCCACGATTGATTCTAATGAACAAATCCAATTTTCCGCTCCCATAATGCGAGTTATTCTGAGCCAACGCCTGTTCACCTCCCCTGTAAATTTCGGATCATTACCTGCAAAAACCTTTGACGAGTTTTTGATGCGAACTATTGAACGCATGAACCCATCTAAGTTGTCTGAATCGTTTGGAAAAGGATATGGTTAGTGATGGGCAAGCGCGGGATTCATCACGTGATGCACGGGATAATTCGGGCCAATGCCATAATTCCAGCCGAAACTTACGGTAATCTTGGTAACAATCTGTGAATCCCGCGCGAATCCCGCGCGGGATTTTTTGGCAAAACCGTGATTTGCCCATCTCTAGATATGGTGCTAATTCTTATTTATATGAGAGAAGTTGGCAAATGGAATGGTATCGTACTGCTACAACTGTAGTTCCAGAAGGCACATCAATAAGTGCTGATGTTGGTGCCGTGTTTGGCTCAGCTGGATTTCTGAATTTTTATGTTAATGGAGAACTTTGCTGGGGGATTGAACTGATACGTGAGGGTGATCGTTTGAAGAAACATGCAGAACGATTTGAACAAGGTGGCGAGTATGCCAACATTCCATTGAAAGATTGGGCTATCATTGATTTCCGACATTATACAAAACAAATAAGAGAATTAAAACCAAACTTCTGGTATGTGCTCTACATGGATAACTATGAAAAAGTTACTATCAAACGTCAAGGGTATAAGGATAAATTGCTTGTCTTGCAAGGCGATAATATGTAACTTTTGGAGTATTATTGTAATAGCAATAATATATTCAAGCCATTTATATTATACACATACACATTGTTAAAAAATCAGAAGCTTTATGTTGGCGAAACTCTTTATTAATTTTAAGTTGTACGATTAGATTATTTAAAGTATTATGTTTTTGTACTTATTAACTCATGAACTTGTTTTAGTAAGCAAGCCTATTAAACGTCCAAATTTTGACTAATATCTTTTAAAGTTAATAGTTGCTAATATTAAATCGAAATAAAAGATTTTTTCAAGCTGCAGTTTTTTTTAAATAAAGTATATTAAAATAAAATATTAGGTTGGGAACATGCTATCAGTTATTTTTTTAAAAAAAACGCGAATTGGCATATTTTATTAATATTTTACAAAATATTTAACTATTTACATTCTAATAGGTATTAATATTTATATGTTTGGTAATTTTTTGTAATTTTCTTTCTTTTGCATTTTGTTTAAAATTTGCAAATTTTTCAAGTTTTAATTCTGTAATTTTACTAACCATTGATTCTGGAACAGTATCTTCGTTCTTTTCGTTCGAGATAGCAATTTCCAACTATCAAAATTTCACCATCGTTATCCATCTCTGCAGATTTTTTTAATGTTCGAATGCTTTCTTTTCGTCCTTTCTCCGAAATAGAAATATGACCGGACCATCCAAAAAAGTTTCGAAAATTGTCAATTCATCATGATATTAAAGTGAAAAGCGATCTTTAAAAGCAGGAAATCCAATAAACACACCATTTCAAAAATATATGTTAATTGCTGTAACCAAATTTCCACTAACAATAAACGAAAAAAGAAATAAATTTATAAAAACTAATCAAGAAAATGAGCAAATCCAGCGTTACCAACAATCCAGGGCGCAGCCACGTGATGTCCGACTTCCTGACCAACTACCCCAGGTGCGCCAACAAATTTTCACTTTCACGTGATGATCATCCAATAGCGAGTCTCGTTTTAATGTAACGTTACACGATCAGCAAGATCAAAACAAAACGTTCGTTTTTCAAAAATCGCTTATTTCTCAAAAATTTGTATAAGAAACCACCTTTTGCGCTCTAACAAAAAAAATTCCCTGAGCAATTTTACTATCAACCCCGCTAGTGCCTCATCTTATTAGAAACGCTAACCCTAATCTAAAAGAACTTTAAAGAATTTTTCGATCGTCACGTGACTGCGAAATTTTGTTGGGCGCACCTGGGTAAGATTTAAGATGCCGAGACCTCACGTGAGAACGGATATGACGATTAATTCCTTGATATAGACATCCCGGCAATTAATCGCATTAATGCGATTAATTAAATAAATCAAGGAAGTGGGATTAATTAGAGAAAGGAAATTAATTAGAGAAAGGGGATTTATTAAGTAAATGGGTTTAAGTGAATAAATTAGAGAAATTGAATTAAATGGTTTAATGAGATTAATGTAATTAAAGAAGTTATAATTCAAAAGATAATATAAATAAAGGCCAAAATAGCCCTAAGAGATGACATGTTCAGTTTGCTTTATTAATAAACAAGTCCCAATATATTATATTGTCATTTATAAAACCCTTACACTAGTACCATTATAAACCCTATAAACCTTTAATAAATATCATTGTTCATTTAAGTTCTTGTACATGTGACTTACTTGACTTGTATTCATTGACTCAAAGTAAGCGAAAGCCTTAATCACCCACTAGCCAAATCTAACATCCTTTTTCAAAAAGGTTACTTATTATACATTATACAAGATATTAAATTGTAAAGCAACTAAGTCATAATCTTCTAAACCCAACAATATGTAGATAATTTTGATAAGGTTATATATTAATACTAGGGCTGTTAATCAGTCCATTCAGTCCATCCTGGTTAAAAGACTATCAATCTTTTAAAGAATTGGATTAGACTACAGTCTAGGACCAAATAGAACTAGATTAGATGAACTGATAATCAATATAATATTTTTTACTATAATAATGAAAATAAGTTTATCTGTATAAGAATTTCAATGCATTATATTAAATAAGCTTTTAAATTCATAATATTAATATTTATATTTTTATAATTTACTTCATTAAATAAGAACATTATAATAAAAATTGAGAAGATATTTTGTTACTTTTAACCACTTAATATTGTTTTTAAATTTGCTTTATATTTATTATCTTAATCAATAATTTGATTGTAATTAGAAATATCAAATATTCAATCTTATATGTACTAATTCAAGACAAAACTATTTCAATATACAAAGATATTAAAGTAAAATAACAATACTATTTATGTTTTTTATATAGTAAAAAATATTTATTGGTGTAATATTGTTAGTCTTAATATTTTTCTCAAATATTTAAAAATTTATAAACCAAATATATTTAATAAAGAAAATAAAAAGTAAAAAATAAAGTATGCCACTAGTGTTTAGATATAAAGTTAAAAAAAATTTAGGTTATAAAAAGTTATAATATAAAATTTTATATATATTTATAAGCATTATAAAATTAAATACATAAATAAAAAAAAACTTGATAACAGAAAAAAAAAATTTATAATACTAAAATTTAGAATAGTAAGTCTTTAGTAAACCAAGATTTTAAACACAAAATAGCTCGAACTGTTTTATTATCAAGAGAGTTTCATGATTTAGTAACTGTTAATCTAGCTAAACTAAATAGTTGTTCACATAGAACACTAGTAGACATAATAGCTAGGTAGTCTTTTGCCATAGTAGCTAAATTTGAAAAAGCCCTTTGGTTAACTTTTCACTAATCACAAACTGAAGTTTCTTCAGGTGGAGCAATTATTTCCCAATATCAAGTAAGTTCATCTAAGTCAAAAGTTGTAATAAACATAGATATTCTATTATATTCTTATAAAAATTGAATATGCTTTGAGATATGTAAAGGTTGAACTATAGATTCAGAGTTTACTGCTAGATTTGCATGGATTGAAGCCAAAATTTCATTTGCTAAATTTTCTGAATAAACAATTTGTTTAAAATGTGGATTAAAAAAAGCAGCAATCTTACTTGCTTCTTGCATAATTGGCCAGTATTCATCTAATTTTTCTCTAATTTTAGATACTACTGCATTCATATCTTGATAGTTACTATTAAAGGCATTAAGATGATTGAATAAACCTGAAATAATAAGACAAAATCAGCAATTGTTGGATAGTTAGACTTTGAAAAAATTTTTGTTGTAGTATTAAATAGTTTTAGACAATTATGAAGTTCCTAAAAAAATTATTATATATATATTATATATTATTAATATTTATTATTCTAATTTATTAGATACTTATTTTTATTTTTTTTTTTAATATTAACGGTGAGGCCATGCCTTTAACTTTATTGAAATTCAATTGAAGTTTTTATAAAGAAAAG